TACCTCTTTCGTTTTGATTTTGTTAAATACTTTTAGGGTCGTTTTTCATTTGTTGGCGCTTGTGATTGTTTTCAACACGTTTGCAATGATGTGGTGAGTGAAGCCAACGAACCGAAGCATTCTCTTTGCTTCAGCGTGTGCGACAATCCTTTCCCCATTCGTGCCCATGGCTTCAAAGAGTGGATACTCCCAGGACAGAAGTTCGGAAATCATTTAGGTGGTTTAGTGTTTATATAGTTTCTTAACATAAGTATGATGAAGGAGATGGAGCAGAACGACATGGCGGTGGCTGAGGCACTTCAGGAAACGGAGTTCGGTAACATCAGCGATGACACAGATGCAACCGAGCCTGAAGATGTGTATGCAGACCTTAACGAGCAGTTCTTGGACATGATCAACAAACTTGCCGACGAGGGCAAGGTGGATTAACTTGGCGAGAACCTTGACATTTTGGACTTGCAGCGGCAGTTTGTTTCCGAACCATCAACCGCATCACTCTCTAAGAAAAGGTGGATAGGACGGCTAAGATGGACATCATCACTGTCACGATTTCGCTTGATGGCACAGACTACGAGGTAAGGATTTCAAAGATGTCATCCTTCAAGGACATTCGCTCAGCCTTCTTCCAGCAGAATGAGAAGGTGCTTCGCAACCTTTGCTACACAAAAACCAATCGTTTGAATGACCTTGCGACTGTTGAAGACCATTATGCACGAATGAGATGATGGGCAGGGATAGCTACTTTTAGCGAGAGCTACGACAAAAGCAAAGCTTTTGACAAATGGCAGCGAATATGAACAATTCACTTTTTCATAAGCGCAACCAATCACAACCAAGCACAACCAAGCGCAACCAAGCTAAACCAAGCGCAACCACGCTCAACCACGCACAACCACGCACAACCAAGCGCAACCATGCACAAGCGCAACCACGCACAACCAAGCGCAACCAAGCGCAACCAAGGACAAGCGCAACCACGTGGAACCAAGCATAAGTAAGCACAGCGACGCTCAAAGCATTCAAACTTTGACACGAGTGTTGAGGCTCAGTTCGGTTTGTAACATGGGCCAAAGGAAGACGGTCAAGTTACACAGTCGCACTTGGCTCTTTAGAACTTGTGTGTAACTATTGTGTTACGTCAAAACTTCAAGCCAGCACCGACTGCAGAGATTTGTGAGACATCAAGCCTCACTTTGACGATGACGACGAACTGGACTTCGCCTTCGCCTTGGACTTTGGCTTCTTCTTTCCATCCTTCTGTTCCTTTGTCATCTTAGTCATGGTGATGACTGTGCCGTTCTGCAAGTTCCAAGTGATAGCCTCGCGACGGTGGTGAGAAGCAAGGGAAGCCTTCTTGTCACCAACTCCAAGGGTGTAGTCATGGTCGGGGTTGGAGCGAGGCGGTGAAGGCTCTTGCGCAACGGGCTAAAAATGCAGTTAAATCAACGTTCTGCACATACGTCAAATAGAGTGCATCGATCCTTTGAAGCGGAAGTTTCTGGAGAAACGATTCCTCAAACTCCGCACGATAATCCTGAAAGAGATTCTCGTACTGGTCCTTTCACGATCAACCCACCAAGCGGTGGCAGCGGGGTTCAGCTTCTCGGGGTAGTTCTTCAAATTCTTGATCATCCCGAATGTCTGAGCCAGCTTTCTGTAAATCGCAACGATGCGTGTATCGCACCAATCGCGAACTACCTTGCATGGTACACCCGAATTACTTCCCTCGTACTCTAGGTACAGATCATCGCTAGTGCACTTCCATCGCCTCTTGATCATCTTTGACCATGTTCGGACCTCTTCCTGAATTCTGTAGATGTGTCGATTGATGTCTTCTGGCGTGAAAGCAGAGTAATCCTCTGAATTCTCACAGAGACGTGTTTCGACAACATCAAGACGAGCCACAACCTTTGTCACTTCGGTATCTTGAGCACAGACATTGACATCGCGAATGTCGTCCATGCTCTTCTCAGAAAGAACCATGTGACGCGGGCAGTTTCTCTTTGGAAGCCGGTGGATAAAATGGGTAGTGGCGGCAGCTTCTGATGTAACCGTGCAAGTCGGCACAACATCTTGGTGCGCTTCGGAGTTCTCTTGCCCTGTGCGAATCAGGACACGCTCTCCGGTCTTATCCACAACCGTCTGAAACCCACGAGACATAGCACCAAATGGAATGATGTGAGAATGCGAGATAGCGTCAAGGGGAGCCTGAGCTTTGCAATCTCTTCTTTTATTTTTACTTGAGCCAAAAATGGCTAAGGTACTAGTTTGATATTAATGAAATAAGTCTTGTTTTATTGTTTCATTTTTCAAAAATGAAAAAAGATATTTATATAAAATTGAAGAATGGGTGGAGAAGACAACCTAACAAGCAAAGAAGGCATTATAAGAATTATAATAGCTATTCTCCTCCCTATGCGAGAGCAGTATTTTCAGCTGACCTTATGGATGTTGTCAGTTTAATGAGAGATACTGGAACAACAGGAAAGACCGACAAACATGTAGCCTTGGTTTGCATTGATAGTTTTAGCAAAAAGGCTCATGTTGTACCATTAGAAAATAAATTAGGACCTACTGTGTATGATGAATTTATGGAATGTTTCAAAATTCTCGGGTATCCGAACAGTATATATACAGACGATGAAGGAGCCTTCAACTCTGATGAGTTTCAAGATTTTCTAAAACATGAAGGTATTGAGCACGTCGTTACCTTAACACACGCCAATGCAGCAGAAAGGTTATATTAGAACAATAAAGAAAATGATAGCTGGTAGAGCCTTACACACTGAAGGAGCTTGGACAATAGTATTAAAACCTGCATTGGATAAATACAATAAAAACATCGTTCATTCAACGACAGGTTTAGTTCCCAACAAGGCTCACAAAGATGATAACGCGGTTGAAGTTAAGGCTAACTCCGTTCTGAAAGAAAAGTATCTGAGAGCATATAAGATAGAGGAAGGTGATAAAGTAATAATTTTTACTAAACGTAAAGGTAATTATACATCAAGAAAAGAAAACAGGAATCAATGGAGCGACCAAACGTATGAAGTCAAAGAAGTAGGTAGAGATATGAACCTAAATAAGTATTACATTGTAGAAGGAAAGAGCAAAAGATATAACAGACACGAACTGTTAATGGTAGATGAGTAAGCCTTAGAAAAAACTACTTCAAGGGAAAACGATGTATTATATTGTATTAGATATTGAGCGATTGTGAAAGCGATGCCGACAGTGTTGTAACAATAGATTACAATATTGAAAAAGAAACTGAGTATGGTCGTAAATTGGTCGTAAATAAAAGACATGATGATATTAAAAACTCTAAAAACTGTAAATTAATACATTATCAACTTAGTAATGGTTTTAATGTTTTTTTTATGAAGGTGTCAATTAAAACATATTTTCTTATATTGGTTGTTCTAGCTGTGTTGACAGAATGAAATATTCAGAATATCATTATGCTTTTGCTCTTGTATATGGTTTAGTTGGAAACAATGACTATCCTAAACATAGAGATATAATATCAAATGTGTTGAGCGGGTTCAACACTAACTTTTGTGTTGAAACAATTTATTGTAACGTTTATAAAGATGATGTCTGTATATGTGAAGATGGACTTTATGTGCTAAATACACTGAGTTGTATGATAAACAACTACATGATAAGTTTGAAGATGTGTATAACCATTACTTCAATGAGGATAAGTTGAGAGAGTTGAGAAAGTTATTACTTGACACATATGAAGATAACTATGATTACAACTATGATTGTATAGATGTTACTTTAATATCTTTTGTACCACTATTCAGGAATATTTGCATGATTATCACATATCACATATCTACATAAACGACATGTCTTTCATTGTTTAATGGAGTGGCTTACATTTAATATTCTTTGATTAAAACTGAATGAACAACCATAATATTATCCACAATATAATATTATTGTTGAAAACCATCACAAGCGCCAACAAATGAAACACGACCCTAAAAGTACTTAACAAAAACAAAACGAAAGAGGTAGAACAAGAAGCCCCAGAAAAAATAACGAATGGTGTACGACATGAAAAAAAAACAAGGAGAACAGAAAAACGAAACAGGGGACGAGAAACGTAGAACGAAGAAGGTAGCGAAGTAAGAAAACAAAACGAATAAGGAACCCAGAACCCCTGACCTGAAGCCCTGCCCCCACAATCCCCCTTTCTTCTATTTTTGTTTTTGGAGGGGGGGGGGGGGGGGGG